ACCTCAGGGGTTAATTCAGTCAAGAACGATCAGCTGGTTGCATCAATTAGATCGGACAGGTCTTCGTAGTTGGTTACGACACGATATTCCTCGGCATGCTCTTTAGGATAATCCGCGTAGCACATATAATGAAACAATAGCGTCGCATGATCACTGCGGCCCAAAGGAGTATCGGTTATCACTCTTTCGAGCATTAATTCTTCATTAGTGAATATTCGGTCCAAAATGGATGGCCTGTCAGTACCCCCGAATCTGGTGGACGTAGTGATGTGACCATAAAGAGGGTAGTCTGAAACCAGATCTTGCAAATCTGCTTTTAATTGCTCTCCTGGTGTGGCCTGGGATTCGAGGGCATGTAAGTTGAAGTCTCCAGCAACTTTGTTAGCGTCCCAAGACTCAGGTCTTTGGATACCAAATTTAAGTGTGCACTGGGAAGCTAGTATTCTTGCCTCCTGACACGTTAAGCTAAAATGTAAATCAGAGCTATTTTGCCTGTAGTTGTCCAATATGTTTTCTTGTTCTGTAGTTAAAACTTGGGCATGCTTGCTGCCACCACATGCTGGGGTCTCTTTACAAGAATTATTCTTCATGTATCGCGACAAAGTGACGTGACGCAGATGGTGAGCTCTCGCTGTTTGCTCAACTTAAACAGCAGCAGCATGAAACTGTTCATGAGCACAGTTCCCTCTTTCCGTTTATCTTTTGTAGTGTCTCATCGTATTTATTTCTGAAAAAATTAGCACCATTGGATAATTCCATCTGCAATAAATACATTTATGGTACAACCTGCCCTGCCTTACATGATCCAACGCCCCCCACTCCTACCGTGGTCAGAAAACACCTTAGTGTTACGTGACAAGCGCGCACACAACACGACACATAGCAGATTCTTGAAGGAAAATGGATGACGATAAGCACTGTAGCATCTTGAACTAGTCGACTGATAAGCAAAATGATTTTGAACTGAAATACAAGAATGAACATTCTTCCTCATCATGAATGAAAAAGGATATTTTGTCTGCCTCTCTAGATATTACAAATTCCGCCTTACTAGTAACGTGCAAACTTCCGGCATTCCCAGTCGCATGTTCGGTGTAGAAAATCAGCGGTGTCTGTGTCGGTTAAGATCACGAAGAAGCTCTGTGTCAACTTGCCTTACGTTACTTTACCCCGGTCTACCCTACTCTTTCGTTACAATTCTCTCTATCATTCTTGGCAGAACCTAAGGGTAAATTAAAGTGGGATATTTACAACTAACGGCTTTACACCCAGATTTATATCGCGGTATAACAGTAGACTGCTTCAGTTTCTCAGATTGTTAATCTGACAGTAAGGATGAGGAAAACATCATCCGTGGAAGTATTGGAGTATGATTCCCACGGTACTAAAGATTTGTTGTCGGGACCAGTAGTATAGCGTGGCCGCAACGATTACTCATGCTTTCGATGGGGTGGATGGTGAGATTAATGACAGAAATAGTTACATGGATGTTAGACGAGACTAGCAATATCACAGTTACATCTTCAGTGTTGAAAGATTCAGCGAGGCATGAACCAAAGGCAATTGCTATAGCATTGGGCATGCCGATAACACTGCCATCTGGAGAAATAATACTTGGGGGTATATCTGTCTGTTGTTCTTACCTCTTTTCGGTAAAGTAAATACATTACCAAGTTTAGTTTGCGGCTTAAGTCGGGTTCCATCGCTCGCATTAGGGGAGTAGATTCTCTCATATTCATTGCAACTACCATTATTTAGATCCAACAGTACATTGGAACTATGAACTTTTCATACGTCCGTGAGAACGTACAAATTTTTCGCCGACCTTTATCACTGATGGTAAAGTCAGCCGAAGACGTTCCCCTAATATTCAATTTGCAGAGTAATGGTATGTTGTGGGAAGCATGAGTATGGTTGCAAATCTATCCCCAATTTATGTTCTGAAGGGAGTGCGATTATGGCCTTTAATTCGATTAACTATGCTGTGGCTAATTCTTTTGATGTCGCTTAGTACATTAGAGGCAACAGAAATAGGATCTTAAGTGCAGCACAATCTCATCCTTGAGGGCAAAAGAAAGTATGAAAAGATGGACGACGTCAGACATACACTGGTATGCCTTACCGACACATCGCTGCCATACGACCTCCCTAGCTATGCAGGATCTAGTTATACTGCAAGTTTGCCCCTACCTACGCCGGCTCGAACAGGTGATATTTGACTTACAATGCGGATACGTTATATCCACTGGCCACTGAGCGAACTTGGTAGGTAAAAAGCCATATTGCATCCATTCTCCAGTGCTAAGAAGATGTCTAAAGTTTGCGTGCTTCCCGGCTGGTACTACACATAACAAGCAAATGGTAGGGGGACTGAATTCCCCACAGTAAGATTTGGCTGTGCGTTTAAAGGAATTACTTATTGCCTCTCGTCACACCGGTTGGCTCCAGATAGGCAGTTTATGCAACTTACATTTGATCGGGTGCCACCAAACGGCAAATTTAGCCAAGCAGATCCAACTTAGCTTCAAGTGGTGGAAGTGTAACTCCTGAAACAAGTAACTTTGCAGAATAGTAACTAATACAGCCAGCACCCATACATACCTCTCGACCACATTTGACATACGTCTATTCATTTCTCCTATTCTATACCCTATTGTTGAACCTTTTCAGTACGCACAAATACGATCGGACTTATGATGATACACGAAGGCTCAAACTAACTGAACCCCATTTAGCAGTGAAGGTACATCAAGTAACATCAGTCGGCAAGCATTCTCGACCAGTTTGAGCTATCCTACTTAGTAAAACACGACCTAATGTTAGTTGCAGGGCTTTTCAAAACGGCTACTTCACAGTGAGATTCATAGTAGCCGTTGATAATAAAGGGTGGTGAAATGGGTAGAGAGCTTCAAAAATTGGGGTAATCGCTTAGGGCCAAATATGCCCAAGAAGGGTAGCATCGTGGAATCATTTAAACTCGATGGTAAAATAGGAGAAACTACGTTTGGTTAGGGGCAATAAATCGAACCATGGATTGTCGAATTTGCACTTGGAGGCCTAATGGTCAGAAAACGTGCAGTCATCTTTTAAGCATTATGCGATTGATGTTTCAAATGTGGTTTGTTGTCATTCGTTGTCATAGTAGACACATGGGGCTTCATCCCAGTGGCATACTCAAGAAAATGCTGTTAGATTGAATTGCAATTGCCACGTAAAGATGGCATACTTCCGGACGCTTTCGTACCGGATATGGGTGTCAGTTTCGCTGCATCGTTTGCCCGTGTAAAAGATAGGATGCATTTCTCCTCGGCCTGGGATCAGTGGATGTATTTTGAAGGGTTTATTTTTCTTGCTTACTTAGTGGACGAGCTGTAGATTATGTCTACAGAAGTGTTTGGCTGTGCCCGAGTAAGGGAGGGCAGTTTGCGAATCAGTAACTACATCAGCCATCTCACTAAGTTAGTACGTAAGTAGGTACTTAGGCAACTAAGTAAGTAAATAAGTAAGTAGGGAGATTAGTAATTTATGGATTGCTGCCACCATAATCCTTGGGTCCGTGGTTCGATTTCCCGTCGAGGCAGGTTATTGTGCGCAATTTCATCGTGGCTTCTACTTTCTACGAAACTTACACTACTGACAAAACACCACCATAATTAGAGAGTCACTCGTGTCTACAGCCTGATCTGAATCAACTTGTCCGACGGAATCTGTACAGGACAGCAACACAATCACTGATTTCAAGATGAATAAACGGAAGTAATCGTCTGCTACTGCTGTTTCCCGTGGATTTAACATGAGGAAAGTCACGCTGGAAAGGAGGGTTTTGTCTTCAAATTAACTACTTCTCTAAATTTTGGGACAGACCACCTAACTTTTAAATTCCAATTAAGAAACTTTTAAGAAGTTTTGCTACTAAACCGGAAGATCATCGGACATAGGTGACAACAGGGTTTTCCACAATATTTTATAATTATTTTTATTTAGGAATATCTTGCGAAACTTTGCAAAGCGTGCCTGAAACTGGTAAGCTGAACTTCCGCTGGTATTTTGAAAACAACAACATTTTCAGCATGCATGCATATTTTTAATGTTCTACACCATATTCCTGCTGTGTTTGGTTCGGAACTTGGAATGGGTTAGGTCTCCTCAAAGGAGACATCTAGACATTACTTGATAGCTGTCATCACTTGGTAAAAATTCAAATGCAAATCCTACTCATTTGGAAATTCGTTTGTTGTTGAAGGACAAGCTATGGTGAAAACTGGTGTCCTCTTAACTTTCGCACTACAATCCATCATTGCTTTCTCATACGAAAAGCTCTAAACTTGTAACGAAACACCGTAATTGCCTTTGTCCATTGCTTCTGTGGTTTTCACGTATTGTTGACCATACCAATGGTCACAGGCTTTGCAACTCCCACTGAAAATTGATCTAAAACCTTTACCACTAAGTCGTGAAATCAGTAAAAGCTTCCTTAAGATTAATTCTGATGTAACTGGGCATTGGTCGACAAATCACCCTAGTCCACTGCAACCTGGTCAACTTCCACTCCCTCTATCGGATTATCGCGGTGAGAAGCAACGCTAACGTGTTTAGGTCACAGTGTCACATTTAATGCCACCAACGACCGTGTCAAAAGTCTCACGGCGAGAAAAGTTCGATATTATTCTAATCCCCACTGAAATTTTCGCTGTGGTGGAGGGAATGTTAGGAAGGTATGGATCTTATGAGTTCACGTGATACCTAATCGACCGCTATACATTCGTGGTACCAGTACATTTAGTGGCCGTAACTCGTGGCGTAGGAGACAATTATTGTATGGCCTTTAACAAACTACTCGATGTACTTGCTGTACTTTTGCAAGGCCACAGGATCAGCCGATGATTTTTTCGACCTGATTAACTAACCGAATGCAGTAACCAGGTTTACCAAATGTCGGCTATAAATTGTAACGTTTCACTATTCGTGTAAAACTTTCTGCGCTCCCCGAGTCAGCAATCATGAAGTGTATTTCCGCGCTGCTGCTCACAATCGCGCTTACACTCCTCACGTTTTCAAGTACGTGTATATTTTTGCTTTCCCTTGTTATCTACACATAGGAGGTGTTTCCAATATGCCTCTTCTGTTTTTCTACATCTCGCCCATCTGCAGTTGTACAGAGACTGCTTATTAAGGCGGATGGATGTGAACGTTAATAGGCGACCCTAATACAGTTTATTATGGTGATCACTCCGAGGCGTGGCCACCATCTTTGTCGCCCGGGGCAGTGGTAAAAGTTTCGCTCTGACTGAGGGCAGAATAGGCGCGTGAAAGCCACACAATCGGCCCAGGGTAAAGTACACAATACTTTTCGATGAAACAGATGCTCGTTTGGTACACTGAGGTCATTGTGCTGAAGGTGACCATATTGACAAGTAAGTGGATCGCGGGTATGTTTGCACAGATATGACACATGGCGCAAAGGTATCGTTGGTCAAACAAAGTAACATTAAAATATTCAACCATCAGCTTATCTGAAAAGTTTGCCATTTATACCTGGTAGCGAACAAGCAACGGTACTAAAATGCCGGCCGGGGCTGACCGCCTCTCTATGCTGCCATTGTTACGTCTCTGTAGTCCGTTGAATATGTCTGAGCTGTAGGACTCACTTGAGTGGGCCACCGTGTTCAATAGGATTTTACATTACGATAGAGTAAGGAGTTGGAATAATTATGTAATCTGAATCAAACTCAGTTTCGCCCTACTGGTTGTTCCGACTACCTAGATATTCATCTAATTTTGGCAGTGGGTACTATTAATGTGCAACGACATGGAGCCCATTAGGCTATGGTAATGCTGTTTCAATGCAGCTGTAAATATCAGCCGCAGTCCGACACCCCCGGTGATTCATCTACTGAACTGAACCCATGAATTTATCTTCTTTGAGAAAGGATTCACACTCTGGGAGGTGAACTAGCCACTGAGGATGTGTATATAATCACCCAGCAGAAGCTTAGTTCCAGATCTCTTCTCTGCGTGCACATCACGAGCCTTGCGGTATTCAAACCTGAAACAGGCCATTGTTATTTAACCAAGTAGCCACCAACAAGGAAAGTTCCATGAATCTGTTGGTTACAAACAGACCTAAGCGCCACTGTGTTCATACCATCTTATCTTCTGGATACATTCTGTACAGGATATCTTGGAGAAATGATCGTTGTTAATGCGGACTCCGGTTGGGTCTATGCCTGATGCTTGGTTGATTCACGCTTACCTACACTAAGGATTTTAGAATGCAGTGATGGAGCGAGTGATCGGATGATCAGCTGAGATCCCGAAGTGACGGGATTGGGGATTTGAGATCTCCTGTCCAGCACAATCTCACATTTAGTATATACTAACGCAAAATATTCCCATTCAGTCAGTTATGGTCCTGCATTTGCAGGACTGAAGAATATACCTTTCAAACGCTTCTCAGAGACCGCTCATGCCTATTTACGATTCTCCTCGCTGTTAGGAGAGGATTGGAATAGTACTATGGTTGCAGGATTGTCACGCTGGACTCTGACTTGGAGACACGGGGCTTTGACCCAACCATCTACTTCCTTGCGAATAATAGTTATGTCTTGTATCATATTAACTACGCCAGCTAAGCATGTCGACACTAACCGAGGTGGCACTGCACTGCATTAGTGGCTATTCACATACAGACAGCACGGAACATAGAATGTGTGCGTTATTGTATTTACAAGCAAAGGGTGTTGGTATTCACAGGGGTTAACGGGTGTTGCCAACAGGTATGTAGGGCGCTGCTGGTGGTGTACCAGATATCGAATAAGTCAATTGTGCTGCGGATTCCCCAATCATATTGCAAACCACGCGTACCAAACTAAGCGGTCAATAACTTTTCCCCTTTTCCGCATCGGAGGTTTGGAGAAGATGGGGCGATATTCATGAATTCGCATGGTTCTGTCCCGCATTATTTCTTTCTAGAAGCACGTTTAGCTCGTGGTCATGTTCATCGGACTTGGTTGGCCCTTAATGTAGCGCGGAGCTTAGCACCAGCGGTTGGTCATCTTTCCATTCCCTGGCAGCTAAATGAACTTCGAGAATCCTTTAAGCCATTCCACATGTTGCAATGTCATTATCACGATTGTTCTTTTAGAAATGTGGAGCTTTCAGTCACCTACGGTTGCAACTATTCTGTGTGTTAGATACTGATGAATATAATGTTGGTCTATCGGTATCGTTGGTGCAACACGTGTATGAATTACCGTTCCTCTCCTCTTTCAGACGTAAACGGTGCCATTGAATGTCGTAAACTAGACGACTGGTGCGACGGAAGTGTGTTCAATCCATGCTGTGATAATCTGCATTGCGAACTAACGGGGTTCGCTGATGGTCGCTGTCGCACTTGTCTTGGACTTGGATCACTCTGTGCAACCCATAACCAATGCTGCTCACGCCTCTGCACCGGCCTCAAATGCGCCCAGTCATAAGTGAAGGGAGGTCACTTCGTTTGATTTGCTTAATGTGTGTGGTTACACACTTTCAAAGCACGCGGCCCACGAAACTAGTAACATTGGTGGTCAAAATATAGTGGCTGTATTTGCTATCTGGAATCCACTTCACTATCTCGTTTGAATTGATGGGGGTTACGGAAAGTTAATTGCTGCTTGGGTACGCTACAGCTGGAGTCTCAAGAGCATGAGATCGTTTCAGAGACGGTGGCACACGCAATGCGCCTAAGGTAATAAAGAGGCAAACTGCAAATGTAAAGCAACGTCGCATCATGGCAAACGAAAGGTTTGAACTGCCAAAGGCTGTGTTTTAGAAGCCGATCTCATGTGTTAACAGGTAAACAGTACTGTCCGGAATCGTAATATATTGACCGTAGGCTGGAAACGGAAGGAGGAGAAGAAATTGTAAATCAGGGCTTGACCAGCAGCAGTGATGAAAGTGTGTTCCGTTTAAAAAGAGAAGCAGCGTTCGGTCGGAATATATCAAGTGCCTAAATAGATTATCCGTAATGCAGCAGCATAACGGCAAGTTGGACAATCTCGTAGATTTCTACAGTTTACGACACTTATAATGATAATAATAGATATATGCGCAAGGAGATTCGACAAGACCTAACGAAGCTGGTCCGTTTGTAAGTTAAAGGAAATGCTAAATGAAAATGAGCGAGTTGTATAACCCCTTATGCAATGCTTTTTCTATTGCTTCTTTCATCATGAAACTCATTTCAACCTGCTTTCGGAATACATGACAGTCAGGAATTGTTCAGGTTCGTCCAAGCGGTGTTACAAATAAGCAATAAAAGAGCAAAAATTAGAGAAGTATAGAAATAATCTGCCTGTGGAAAAGTAGGATTGTTTACATCTATAATATTGGCATATGATACTAGTTTAACGGCAGACAACCTGTGAGCAGATGATAAAACTTGCAAGGGTAAATACTTATACTGAGAAGTGTCCCTTTGTGAACTATCTACCGCAGTTAGAAAGAACAGTGTGTTTCACAATAGTGATGCGTAAAGCTAACAGAGGGAACAATGCGAAACTGGTATAATACGGTTAAAACTGTCAAGGCTTGACAAATCCCGTGGGATGAATTGTGTGAATTAGGTAGGGTAAAAAAGCAGTTACCCCAAAGTGAAACGCGCATCTATGGACGCATCAGATTAATCACACTAACAAAAGCAAATCCGTCTACTCGATTTCGTGAGGTTGGTGAGCACAATATTTGTCTGCGTCTAGTCGTCACTCAATGAACAGGAATCAAAACAATAATGTAGATGGTGTAACCCGTCTTCTTTTAATATGAGTAGCGTGGGTGCGACGACGACAAAAATCGAAAGAGCGTTCCACAATTTGTATAGTCGAATGGAAAAATAATTCCCACTGCATCCATCTGACTGTATTAGGTAGCCAGTTTCAATTGATGAATCCTTAATTTTGTGTCGTGGCTGAGAGTGCGCTCTCACCAAGGCTCCTCTACGCTACTCTACGCTATTGCACGCCACTCCACTACGCACTGATGATGTCACCTCGATTGGTGACGAAACGTTTGCAACAAAATTGCCAAGCTCAGCGAACAGTTCAACAGCTAAAAGAAAAGAACTTGAAATAAGCAACTAATGCACTCTCGCTAGCATAGACTGGGATCATCATCCTTGTTGGAAGCATCAGGTATGGGTCAGAAGCATCGCAGTAACTGTGAGGCCATACAAGTCAGGTAGAAAGAAAGAAAATGACAACGAAAGCAGCACAAAACAAAAATGTTATTATAATTTGGTTTATTATATACATTGGAAACGAGGTCGTGATTGAAGAAGAGTGCCTAACGGGATGTGGGTGGAAAATAAATTTTCAGTGCCATTGTGATAGGTTTCTGGTCATGTCAACAAACCAACTAAAGCCTTCACTACCTCTTGGAGTCCAAACAGAACAAGAGGCTCCAAGCGAAACAAACTCCGAAGTGAGATACCTCATTTCTCTTGACCAAGTCATCGGTTGGCCCCCCCTTTCTTCCATCCACACCCCAATCTCGTACACCACGCACGACGCGGGAGTCGGTGTGAGGTATGCGCAGCACGTGGCCTAGCAATCGGAGCCTGGTGCGTGACACATAACGGTGCTGAGCGGTTCATTCGCCCTTTGTGCATCAAATGCACGATGCCGAACGCGCTCATTGCTCCCGCGGTGTTCCCACCAGATACGGCCTCGTAGACAGCGATGGTTAAATGTCCGTCGGCTTGATAGGCCAGGTCTCGCAGCCATATTGGAGGATTGAACGGACGGCTGCATTATACAATTTGCACTTCAGGGCGAAAGTAATGTCGTGGCAGCACCACAGATAGCAGACATTGGTAAAGGCGTTACAATTTTTGCCATGCGGTTCATGATCTCACCCTCTCATCCAATGGCGCCGAAATAGCTGCCAAAATACTTGAATTCCTCGATGACTTCTAACTGATCGCCACCAAGGGTCAGCGCAGGGCTAGGTCCCTGCGAATGTTGCAAAGAGGGATTGGATTTCGAGGGTGCAAATTATAGTCCGAGACGATTGACATCCAGTGCCAAGTTATCCACTGCTGCTTTGCTTGTTTGGGAGCTGTCACAAATAAGGGCAATATCGTTGGTATGCTGCAAATCAAGCGGTTATTTGGCTGGAAGCAGCTCCACACCTTGTAGGTCGTGTGCAGTGAGTGCAGTTTCCATGACTTCGTCGATGGCGGAGTTAAAAACGAAATGTAACAGCGAGCATCATTTACTCACACTGCTAAAGATGTTGAAGGACGGCGGCAGCTTGCTCGAGCTACACGCATAAAACGTTCTGAAAATGTTTACGTATTGCTCGGGCACACCTTTCCTAACTAGACAACCCAAAAGGGCATAGTGATTCACCGAATTTAACGCACATTTGTGCTTAAGGAACACAGTTACGGCAGGTCAGCAAGCAGGAAAAATGGAAGCGCTCGAGAGCAAACTTCTTCTTTTATGATTGCAGCATTCCGAAGGTGGGCCTACCCTGAACATCGGAACAATATGTGAGCCGTTCCAGTTGGTTAGGCCAGCTTCCTTTTCCTACGGCTTTATTGATAGACTGTGTACGTCGTCCATAAGAGCAAGTCCGCCAACTTTGCAAGGCACTATAGCTACTTCGCCTGGTACCGCGACTTTATTGGGCGACTAACGATAAGCCGATGTAGGAATAGGGTCATCTGTAACGAATCAGTGAAGGTTACTAAATTGCATGTCGACTAGTTTTCGATGCACAGGTTAACCTCATGAACTGCTTGGCTATCGAAACCCACTTACCAACTGTGGGATTTAGTAGTGTTTGAACTGAATATTATTTACAGGTTACAGTAACGTATCAGGTGAAGCTGTAACAGCGCAGGTGCACACAATTAATTTCCTGGCTTGTTTATAACTGTGTGAACTGGTTGTAACGGTGTTCTCTGGGCTTGAGTGTAGCATGTAGGCGTACCGAAATCCTTCGATGGAATGAGTGAGTTCATGGTGCACCAGTGGAACAATTGTTTGTTAGAAGTAAAATAGATGACACGCTGTCGCTCATGTAGGATCATCGAGATAAGAAAAACGAAGCTGAAAATAAATATGCCAGTTAACTAAAGCTCATACCGGTGGACACGCCATGAGATTCATTCAAAATTTTGTGCAGATCTGCCTAACGAGATTTATGAGGAAGGACAAGGTTGGTTTCGCTCCTCCTATCACCCGATGTTAATAAGTAATATCCCTTAATGTGGGCCCAAAAACACACCATCCAGTCGTTACCTAAATATCGATAAGGTGAACACAGAAACAGCGTAACTTGGAGTAGCGTTCCATGCTGACCCACTTACAAAGAGGAAACGCTGCAGACATTACAGCCAACTACACTGTAGAGAGAATTTTAGATTGTGACCTCTCAGGTTGGTGTTATTTTCAAGTTTCAGGTGGCGGCAAATGCCGTTACGCTTCGGGAAGATCTGGTAGGACATGGCGAGGTTAGCCAGTAGACTTTAGGTTTCGGTTGTAATGCGAAACTGAGCGAGCCTAGTACATTTTGTACCAGCCTTCTTTGTCAAGTCACGAGTGCAGCTGCGCCGCACTTGTGTCTCGGCTGCCATGTCTAGATAACGAAATCCCCTTGAAATCTTATGTGCCCGCTAAGCTTTTGAAGGAAACTGCAAGGGTCGGACAAAATTGACGCAATCTAATGGAGGCCAAGGTGCGCGTTCTCGGTTTTCGGCACTCAAATTATTTTGAGCAGGCTTGGTCATCTTGACCCACTATCACAAATTCACGCTATTAGGAGACCCGGTACCAGAAGCAGTCACTAAGCATTATACGCCAATCAGACGATGGGGTTTGTGCCTCAGCTTACAACATTTCTTCTTAAGCTGGTTCAAGGTTCATGATGAACAATCATATTTACTGTCCAAATCCCGTTAGAAACGTTATCATTATGCCTATCATTCGTCTACCGAAACACAATCCCATTGACGAAAAGGCAAAAACTTCGCAGTGACCCCATGTGAAGTATCATCATTGGGAATAAGTAGTAGACACAGTACAAGCAATGAGCCCGGGTAATACTGTAATCATGAGTGCATGCAGCAGAGAACAGTCCTGTACTCGTCTGCTGGTGATTCATTCGTTACAAGCGTGCTACGCTGAAACGTTAACCAGTGAATGCGATTGTGTGACCATGCTGCGGCGAAAAGGAGAGCATCACTTAGTACTTGGAGTTCATGCGAGTCTACTGAGGCCATCTGAGTTTTGAGTCAAGGGTGTATGTTAAACATTTCAAGTATATTCTCTGCATAAGCCGCAAGTTTGTTTGTTAGCGTAATGAAGCAAAATTTGAAATGGACTCCCGGCGAAACGGTTGGAGCATTTGACATCAAATTCCAAATGATTTCATCTTTTATTAGAGTACAAACACAGTTGAAGATAATTGTTTTACTAGTGTGGCTGTAATTAGG